GCTTCATCATTCCCCAAATTCCCAATTATTTGCTTCATAGGTCTGCAGAAGTCCCTCTCCTGGCCATTGGCAAACCAAGAAGCAAGGAACTGGCTTCATCCTACCTTATCCCCATTACCCTGTCACTTCCTGTCTCATATGTATATTCTATATTATACCATAACTGTACCACCACTTGGCAGTGCTTTGTGAATTTCACTTTCATGCTGCAGTACCTTTGTTAAAGTCACTTGAAATGCCCTTCCCACATCACATATTGAAATCCTACTGTTTAATTTCTACACTGTCAGAGCCTGAAAATCCCTTTAGAAGCCATGTGGGTAAATTGCCTCACAAATGAAGAAAAAACAATTCGGATGAATTCCTAATGTACACAGATTTTTGAATAATGCCATATTTTAGGTGTAGTATGAAGTGGTTAATAAGATCTGCTCTGGAGTCAGTTTGCCTAGCTTCAGATCCTGAATCTGCCACCCAGAAGTTGGATGACCTTGAACAAGTTAGCCTTAGTTCTCTGTAAATTTGGGAGATAATGCTATCTACCTTATATAATTGATGTGAGGATTAATTCAAGTTTATAATGTGGTTAGCACAGGTACTAGTGCTTAATCGATAGGAGTTGATATTAATTTTATTGCAGTTATAATTTTGGTGCTTGTACTTTAGATAACAATCTATGATACTTCTGTCGAACACTGTTTTTATTCTAATTTGTTTTAGAGCAGGGTAAAGTCTTTCCTTCTCCTACCAAGTGCTTTCCATATAGCTGAACAAATAATAAGTGCCTAATCTAATGAATCTTTATTGTGTGAGTAAGTTAATTAGAATTACAATATTTTAAAAGGTTTATAGAATATGTTTCAGTACAGCAGCACTAAATAATGGACATCTTTTCAAAGGAATGTGTCCAAACACTAGGGATAAAAATGAACGAGGTTTTCAGGCTAACCAGTTTGTGTTGGTTTTTAAAACTATTTTTTAGGGCTTGTTGAATGAAGTGTATTTCAATGGATCATTAGAAGTGGCTGAAAGGATGAACAAATTCACTAAGAAAGGAGCTAGAACAACACCATATATCATTATACATCTCTATTAAGGCATGAGCTTATACTCTGGGCTAAACCTGGTGTAACAGAAAGGACATTGGATTGAGAAGACATCAGCTTTCCCACTGTGTGATCTTGGTCATCTTTCTCTCTTTAAGCCTCTGTTCCTTTGCATATGAGAGGAGAGCATCTAAGGTCCATTTCTCCATTCCAAACCTGTGTGGTTCCACGTTGCTAAACTCAAGTGCATCTGGGAACCTGTGGCATGACTCTTCCAGAACAGTGCCAGTTCTCCTCCCAGCCTGCCAAAATTCAGTTGTTAGTGCCTATTCTGGTGAATAATATCTCCCTGAATTGGCAACAGTTGGAAAATTGTAGAATGGAATGTGCCACCTGGGTTTGGATTTGGAAATCCAAAGTGTTGTTGCCTTGAGGTATGAGGATGTTTCTGCTGAGCCATGGTGGTGAGTAGGCTGATAATGCCAGCCATGTCAGCTTTGTACTTGGACCAGGAAAAGAGGATCAAGTCTTCTTTGCTAATGAGAACAGAATGTGAGGAGATCTCTTTTATTTCCTTGCAGCAATTTGCTCTATGAATTGTACCATACTGTTTGTAATGTGGTATTACAAACAGAATGCATCAGCGAAGTGATAAAAATAAAATTTCCTTGTGCTTCTATGATACTAAGCTGTTTACATGTTTTTTTTCAGACAGCATCTTACTCTGTTGCCGAGGCTGGAGTGCAGTGGTGTGAACATGGCTCACTGCAGCCTCAACCCCCTGGACTCAAGCAGTCCTCCCAACTCAGCCTCCTAAGCATCTGGGACCACAGACACTAGCCACCATGGCTGACTAATTTTTTTACTTTTCTGTAGAGGTAGAATCTCATTATGTTGCCCAGGCTGGTTTCTAACTCCTGGACTCAAGAAATCCTTCCGCCTCAGTCTTCCCAAGTGCTGGGATTACAGGTGTGAGCCAACATGCCCAGCCCATTATTTACATTCTTTATGATACTTGATCTCATGAGCACTCTGAGTGGAAATCAGGTCCTCAGTTTCTACATCCTGTTATACCACTTAGGGATTTCTATGTGTTGAATTCCAGTCTTCTTCGATTTGAAGGAGAGTTACCTTTCTTGCTCTAAGGAGGCAGCATGGTGGAATGGAAAGGCAATATGGGCTTCCTTGAACTGTTGTTTGATCTTGATCTTGAACTTGAACTTGTCAAATTTTCCTCTCTTGAGGCTTCTATTTCCTCCAAGTAAAATAAGTAAAAGATCTCCTAAGCAAAATTTTCTCTCTCAGAAGGCTGAGGGAATATTGCCTTGTTAATTTTTCATATGATGACGTGAATAAAATGTATAAATACTTCAGTAACTGTTGACTTATTCCTAAAATAGAACATTAAGATGGAGGCTGATTCTATCACACATTGGAAAAAATGAACATATATTTGTCTATATTTATAAATGCCTGATCAGCACTCAGAAGATGAATTCATTTTGTTGAAATGCTCTCCATCTCAAAGAACTCACACTGGAATATTTTTTTAACCCAGTGGTTTTTACATAAAAAGAGAAGCGAAAAAAACCTAAAATGTGTGGCAGTGGTACGCTAGATACTTTACATTCTCATATACTCATTCAACAAACATTAGGGCACTAACATGTACCAGGCATTATAACAGAGCTGAGGATGAGACTGATATAGTGGCTACCACAACAAGGTCCTTGCTGTCATGGAGCTTACATTTTGGTTGGGCAGATGGATAATAAACAATAGTTGAAAAAAATTCCAAATAGAAATAATGTCTATGAAAATAATATAGAGAATGATGGTGGTGGTCATGGAGGAGGCTACTTTTGTTCAGATAGTCAGTAGAAACATACTGAGGAGGGAATATGTGAGCTGAGACTTACATGTTAAAAAAGAAGCAGGACATGCAAACTCTGAGGGAAAGAAGTAAAAAAAAAAACCCAAAAGGACAGATAATGTTTCAGGAATACATTAAAGGTAGAGTCATTTAACTCTAACAACTTTAGAAATATTATCCTTACCTTACAGATGAAGAAAGGAAGTAAAAGAGGCCAAGTTCAGACAGTAAGTAGAGGACCTGAGATTTAAACCCTGGTTAGTCTGGCTCCAAAATTCACACTGTTTCTAGTGGGTATGAAGCACTTGTTTCTGTGACATGGTAGGGAGGATACTCTTCCTTCCTTTTGATTCAGGGAGTGTGTATAACGCAGCCAGAAAGTGTAAATGGCTATTTAAGTTTTTGTCACTTGATAAACATATGGTATCGTGTATTTTTGTGTGATACTGTTTTATGTATTACAGTTCCTTGTTCCCTTAAGTCCCAGGTGGGCAGGTGTCCTCTGCTGGGAATTAAGAAAGAGGTCTTTACTAAGAGTGTTGTTATGGGCCAAATGTTTGTGTCCCCTGAATTTATGTGTTGAAGGCCTAGCTCTTAATATGATGGTATTTGGAGGTGGAGCCTTTGGGAGGTGATTAGGTTGAGATGAGGTCATGGGAGTGGGCCCCTCACGATGGTGTTAGTGTCTTCATAAGAAGAGAGACCAGAGCTTGCTCACTCTCCTTCATATGTGAGGACAAACAGAAGGCAGCTACAAGTCAGGAAGTGCCCTTACTAGGAACTGAATCTGCTGGCACCTTGATCTGGACTTTCTAGCCTCCAGATAAATGATGTGAGAAGTAAGTGTTGTTTAAGCCAGCCAGTCTATGGCATTTTGTTACAGCAGCCCGTGTGCGTACACATATGTATATGTGTGTGTATATATTCGTGTGTGTACATATATACCCAGAGAGATGGGTATGCATCTCACTCTGTGTGTGTGTGTGTGTGTGTGTGTGTGTGTATTTTATAAGGAATTGGCTTTCACAGTTAGACTGAGAAATCCCAAGATGTGCAGTGGGCAAACGGGAAAGCCAGGAGAGCTAATGATAGTTCCAGTCCAAGTCTGAAGGTCTGGGAACTGGGAGAGCCAATGGTATAAGTTTCAATCTGAGTCCAAAGGCAGGAGAAAAGCTATGTCCTCACTTAAAGACAGGGAGAGAGAGCATATTCTCCTGAACTCCACATTTTTGTTCTAATCATACCTTCAATGGATTAAATGATATCCATCCTCAGTGGGGAGGGCAGTCTGCTTGACTCAGTGTACTCATTCAAATGTTAATTGCATCCAGCAACACCCTCACAGACACACTTAGAAGTAATGCGTAAACAAATATCTGGGCACCTGTGTTCTAATCAATTTAACACATAAAATTAACTATCATAGGTGTGCTTTGTAAAAGGCAGTGGTGAGTGTGATGTTGAGTTGTTGGGGAATAGGAAGGAAGTATAAGATACAGTGCGCGCTGTCAGGGGGCTTCTAATACAGTGGGGAAGAAGAGACACAAACTAAAAATCAGCTGATGATACTAGACTATGTCTGTTTAAAGTGACAAATCAACAGGTTTCAGACTAGGCTTCCAGAAGGAGAAACTACTACAGGATGGGAGGACCGGGAAGATTTCCTAAGGAAGCAGAACTTGTTTTGGACCTTGAAGAACAATGGCAGGGGTAATTTCACAGTGGCCCAAGGCACAGGGGCTGGGAAGCTGTCTGAATGGTGGAAGGAGTAGGGCAGGGCTCCTACATATGCTTATACAGGTTGTTCACTGTACAATGATATCTATCTGAGGAGATAAGTAGCCCCACATTCTGCTCACCAATCCAAGTGCCCTGGTGCAGGAGTGTGTACTGCAGGCATCCTGAGGAATAGGTGGCTTTTTCTAATTCCCATGGAGACTCTGAAGCAGATGTAAAAGAAGACAGATAAGTTTTAAACAGAAAGGTGAGGCCAGATCATGGAGGACATTTCCTTGCATCTAGACTGCTAAAAAAGGGTGGGAACTCTACAGCTCTGGTGGTAGTGATGACTGTGGCTGTGATTTGTGACCGTACAGAAGAGGTAGACCTGCAGTATTCATGATGCTAGCAGCCTTACATATCTGGCATAAAATAAAGCCATATCTTAAAAATTATATTTGCCTGCTCTTTCTTCAAAGCAAACTTTATAAGTGACCCACTTTGCTCCAATATCAAATCATCCTGACTTAATTTTATAAGCCAGTCATGGAAAGAAAATCAGTCTCATGACTCCAAAGCATTCTGTTCTGTAGCTCCACTGTAATTACAGACAAATGCATCTAATCTTCCCGTCATGTGTTCTCCTGAGTTACAGGATTCTTTTTTTTTTTTTTTCTGTATTTGATAATCTTGTTATCTTGTGATACTGCATCATTTAATTATTCCCCAAAATAGAGATCTTCAGAAAATCTGTTCAGAAAAAGTGATTTGCTGTTCCCAACTGAAATCACAGCTGGGATGTTTACTCATAAATTAGTAATTTTCAGGCCTTTGGGATTGCTGCTTTTCTTAAGGAATCTCATCTGCCACGTAAGGCTGTTAAAGCCTCCCACAGATCACCTGATGAAATTTCATAAACTCCAAAGGACTTAGTGGGCATTCTCAGAGGTCTTCAAGCCTAGGACTTTGTATCAGATTGAGCTTGGTTGCTCTGATTTTTTTGTTTTTTTTTATTTTTGAGATAGGATTTCACCGTTTCAGCCAGCATGGACTTGAACTCCTGGGCTCAAGTGATCCTCCAGCCTCAAGCCTCCCAGGTAGTTTGGACTGCATGCACACACGATAGCACCCAGCTGCTCTCTCTGATACTAACCTTCAAATATCTAGCTGTGTTCAGTAACTCTATAAACATTTCATGTGTCAAACAGTAGGACAGGCTTTTGTAACACAAAATGAGTCGAGCAGAATCCTCAGCTAACGAAGTATATGGTTTCTAAACTTGATCTTCAAAAGAGTTGGAATTTAATTTTACTAGTTCTGCCACCCACTAACTGCTACCTTTAAACAAGTCAGTTAGTTCATCTGAGCCTCATTTTTTCTATAAAACCAGTAACATTAAGATGATACTCCTGTAAGAGACATATTGTGAGGATGTGGGGATTTATTTGGGTGTTCTGAGATGAGTGACCTGTATATGGCCACTCAATGTTTGTTTTTTCTTTCCCTCCTCTTCCACACCCATGTGTTGCCTTTGTATCTTTAGCTTTACAGGCTGAAGAAGATTCATTATTTTAGCTCTACTAAAATCAGAGCCATTTCATTTTGTTCTTTTTTTCTCTGGACCATTTCTACTTTCATCATGTCACTCGTATCCAGGTGAGTGGACCTAATATGCTGTATCACAAAAGCATTACAGCTTGCACAGGATGGGGTTAGGGTGTGAGTAGACCTTTATGTTGGGTTTCCATAAGCTTTCTAGTGATAACTAACATTTTTTTCACCCTTCACTCTCTCAGTCTTTTTGGTTTTGCCTGTTACAGCTCATGGGACTGTCTTCAGAAAACAATTTTCTGTCATTCCAGGTTCCTTTACGTGATTGTAGTTGAGCATTCCAGTTCATGATCCTCTGATAAGATTATTTCCTCTGAATGTGTTTTCTTATACTTAGTCACATTAAAACTCCTCTGCCACTTTTCTGCCCACGTCCACATCTTCTTTCAGTTTACCCCTAATCAGCTTGGCATTTTAATCCCTGGAAGAGCTGAATGCCATCTGCAACCTTGGCAATTTCCCCATGCACTCTCTTCCAGATCATTTATATGAATGTTAACTAAGACACCATGCAGCTTGCTCTCTAAGATGTGCCTTAGTTGCAGAGCATTTGATATAACAATGTAATCAGTGAATTAATAATATCAAAGATCAGCCACAAAATGTCGCCTTTATCCAGAAAAGTATTCATGTCTTCCTATTCTTTGTTTCTTATTCTGAACCAAACCAATTATCCATAAAAGAAATTTCTCCAGGTACTGAAAGAAAGCTTTATTGTCCATAAATTAGATAACAAATCCAAATTTGAGTTGAAAACCCCTTCAATGTAACGCCTGCCTATTTGAGGTTTTATTTATCTCTTTGTTCTAGAACATCTACAGTGGGAGTTCTATAAAGTGTAATGTCATTTCATTAAGCCTGATTTTTTTTTTTTTTTTTTTAGGAACAGCTTTGTCTTTCACCCCGACTGGAGTTCAGTGGTGCAGTCTCGGCTTACTGCAATGTCTGCCTTCTGGGTTCAAGCAGTTCTCTGGCCTCAGCCTCCCAAGTAGCTGGGATACAGGTGCCGGCCACCACGCCCACTTAATTTTTGTATTTTTAATAGAGTCGGGGTTTCACCATGTTGGCCAGGCTGATCTCAAACTCCTGACCTCATGATCCACCCACCTCAGCCTTCCAAAGTGCTGGGATTAGAAGGTGTGAGCCACCACACCCAGCCTAAATCCGATTTTTTAAATGTCACTGTCATTTCCTAGCTAGCTACTAAGCTCCTAGACTTAATCAAGTGATTAATTGAATTGTCAGGTGAGTGCTATGCAATAAGTATTGGTCTGCCAAGTGCCAGTAAAATAAAAAAATCCTGAAGTCTAGTTACTACATTGGCTTCTGAAATGATCTTAAGCACTGATTCATTCCTTTCAGTCTTCTCCGTATTCCAGAGAAAGCAGTCTCTCAGATCTTAGGCATATCTGACCATATGATTTCGCTGCTTAAAATCTTTGAGTATTTTCTGAGACAGTTGAGAAAACTTGAATACAGACTCAGTAAAGATGTTAATAAAAATTGTTAATTTTGTTTGGTGAGACAATGGCGTGTTATTTATATTTAAAAAGTCATTATCACTGGGGCTGGGAGCAGGGAAGGACGGCTTGGTTCTCTTCTTTTGGGGAGAACATAGAGTCTCACCCTAGATGTTTTATGTATTATACCTATAATATAAACATATCGAAGTCAAAAAAAAAAAGTCATTATCCTAGAATAGGCAAATTAATACAGACAAAGTAGATTAGAGGTTACCTCGGACTGAGGGGAGAGAGGAATGGGGAGTTATTGCTTATTGACTACAGAGTTTTTGTTTGGGATGATGAAAAATTTTGAAAAATAGGTAGTGGTGGTGGTTGCACAACATTGTCAATATACATAAAAGTGGTTTAAATGGAAAATGTCATTATGTCTGTTTTGCCACTGTAAATCATAAAAATAAGAATCATTACCAGTTAGAGAGGATACTTAAAAATTGAGGCCAGGCATGGTGGCTCACATCTGTAATCCCAGCACTTTGTGAGGCTAAGGTAGGCAGATCACCTGAGGTCGAGAGTTCGAGACCACCCTGACTAACATGGAGAACCCCCATCTCTACTAAAAACATAAAAAATTAGCCAGGTGTGGTGGTGCATGCCTATAAGCCAAGCTACTTGGGAGGCTGAGGCAGGAGAATCGCTTGAGCCCAGGAGGTGGAGGTTGCGGTGAGCCAAGATCGCGCCATTGCACTCTAGCCTCGGCAACAAGAGCAAAACTCCAACTCAAAAAAATTGGCAGGAGAAACGACATGTTGGAATTTGCTTTAAAATACTCAAACCATGGTCTCAACAACAAAAACACAGTAATAGATGAAAAAGATTGGTAAAATGTTGATGATTATTGAGGATATTTCTATAATGAAAATTTGTAAAAAACCATCTGGAGGCTAGCCCTCAAGTCGCAGTGACTCCACCTGACATTTAAAGCCCTTTGCTCTGCCTCTCAGACCTGCCTCGGAACCTCTGCTCTTCACTGCTCATCCAGCAGTGTGCTAGGCTCCTGTATTGCCCAGAGCCCCACCCAGGCTTCTGTGCCTTTGCCCTTACTTTGCAATCCTGTGTCTTCCTTCCTGTGTGGCTAATTCCTACTGATTCTTTAAGACTCAGTTCAGTCTTTGTGGAGCATTCCTGGACTTCTCCAGGCAGGGAGAATGACTCCCTCCTTTGGGTTCCTGTAATGCTATGCTTGTATGTCTGCTGCAGTTGATACCCTGAATTGCACTCTTTCATTTTTGTTTCTGTTTCTCCACTGACATGTGAGGTAGAGGAACCTTTCTTTCCACTGTACATCTTCCTGTGCTATATGAAAGTTATTGTTTTAGTTGTGTGCTTAAAAATTTTTTTTAAAGTAAAATATTGAAAGGTGGAAATGTGAATGCTAGATGTAAATCTGAAGAGTTGAATGGGAAATTAGCAGTGACCCCTATGTAGGTATTGGTGTCCTTTTGTAGATTGTGCCTTCTTCTTTACTTGGTAACCACTAATGGTTGTCAGTTTTTATAGTTCCAGCCTATAACTGGGTGCTCAGTAAATTTTTGCTTAATTTTCTAATTAACCACGGCATTTCTTTCTACAAGTTGCAAAATCTAGCTATCCACCTTATTTGGGGGAGGGGAGTGGATGCATACTTTTTAGAAGAGACAGTTAATCTTCGGGTATGGTTTTGCAGAGCAGCAGATAAGCAGCTGGAGGAATACCTGTGCCAGTAGGGTCCGCGGCTATTCAGCTGGTGGAGTGAGTGGTGAGCTGACTGCAGTTAGCTGCAGTACTCATCTTGCCACTGGGTGGCGGCAATCACTCACAAACTTGCACCAGGATTCAGGCTTGATTTTACCCTAACAGTATAGGCTGGGAAATAGGAATTTCCTACTATTTCTAGTTTATTTTCTAACTTCTTGAAGCCTTGAGATGCTTGGTTGAAAGAACAAGGCTCGAGTCAGAGTCAGTAAGAGCCAGAAACTAGTACTTTGTTAAAGATAAATGTCTAGACCAGTGCTAGGCATTTACTAGGTGCTGCACTATTTCCAGAGCTGTAGGAAAGTCTTCCTCCCTAAATGCCTTCTGGAGCATGTGAATCCATCTTTAGTGCTGTCATCTTCTTGTCTGAGATTTGATCTTTATGCAAATTACAGTCATCTGGGGGAGGATTTATACTGTGGGTTGTTTCAGGTCCTTAGCACCAATATAGACAGGCATTGTAAACAGGCTTTCATGTGGGCAAGGAGAGGAGGAAAAAAACTTGACTCTTGGAATTGACACATGTGAGAAGAGAAGATGGCTGGGCCTGCAAAAATAGACACCATCCTGAGGCTGGTCTCTTCTGGCTTTCTCCAGTGGTCCAGCCCAAACCACCATTCCTAACATCGCCAGTCAATAAGCAAGTCCTGATTGTGAGGCTACTGAGTCACATCTCTGTGTAGGATTTGGAAATCTATGGATATAGTGTTTATATTTGTACAGGCCTAGAACATATAATCAAACAATAAGACATAATCAGTATTTAAAATTGAAAATGTTCTGAACAATCCAAGACTCACATATGGATCGTACCTGCTTTGAAGCATTCTTACATAATCTAGTGGTCTGAGGGCAGAGGTGGGGGAGGGGTGTCCAGTTATTAGACAACTGACTTTGAAAGGTGTTATAAGATGGTGATGCTATGAGCCAAATATCATGATCAGGCAATAAATGTGATGAAAGTTCAGAAAAGGAAGAAGCCATGTTGGCTGTAGTCATATTAAAATAGCATAAATGTTTGCTGCTTTTTGCTAACAGTGCTTCATATTTGCATAACATTTCAGCATTTCCAAAACATTTTCATGTCACCTGATTTCATTAAATCTTCACAACCACCTGTGAGCTAAACATTTATTAAATGAGGTAAAGTACATAAAACACTTAGAATAGTGCTTAGTACATTGCAGGTGTTCACTATTAGGATCATTATTAGCCCTATTTTATAAATGACACAACTGAGGCGCAGAGAGGCATTACTTGCCCAAAGTCACACAGCTGAAAAGTGATAGAAGTAGGTCTGAACTCAGCTTCCCTGGCTCCTGTTTCTAGAACTCTTTCTTCATTGTCCCATGCATAAAAGAGTGAGTATTTAAGCTAGGCTTGCCTGGGTTGAGCCAAGTGTTGTGGGGCGTTAGGAGAGAAGTCTCTGAAGTCATATTCCTCACCCTCACAAGCCCTGGTTGGTAGGTAGATGGGAATTGATGAAGGTATTCACTTTCTTGAGTAACAAGAGTTAAATCTAGAAGCTTTTGCTCATTTTAGCAATAAGGGGAGATGGTTCATTACCTGGTCCATCAAGGAAGCTGCAAGCTATTAAACTTACATAGATCCTCAGCTGCTAGGCTTGTTAAGAAAATGTTACAATAGGGGGAAATTAACAACACAGGCACTACAGATATTTTTAGTCTGTGTTTCAAGGATGTACATCTTGGGTTCTGTTTAAAATTGAGCACAAGGGGATGAATTTAGATTTGACAAGACTGCCAATCAGAAAGTCCATATTTGCAGGGCATGGTGGCTTACTCCTAGAATCCCAGCACTTTCAGAGTCCAGGGTAGGAGAACTGCTTGAGCCTAGGAGTTCAAGAACAGCCTGGGCAACATAGTGAGACGTTGTCTCTACAAAAAATTTTAAAAATTAGCCTGGCATGGTGGCATGTGCCTGTAATTCCAGCTACTTGGGAGGCTGAGGCAGGAGGATCACTGGAGCACAGGAGGTCGAGGCTACAGTGAGCCATGATTGCACCACTCACTCCAGCCTGGGCAACAGAGCAAGACCCTGTCTCAAAAAAAAAAAAAAAAGTCTATACTGGGCATCTTATCTGTTCCAATCTTCTGCAGGGGACTGTGTGGGAAAACTAAGGGAAGTAGAGTAGTTTTCGCAAACTTTCAAATGCTGTTAAGAATAGTATCATCTTTTTCTTGGGTGGGGGACAGTTTGGCAATTTCAGTAAAAACCATAACTGTGTCTGTTCCTTGCACCAGCAATTCTGTCATAAATTATTTATCCTATGAATATATTTTTAAATGTAAGCCATTGTAGCATTGTTTATAATAGCAAAAACAAGAAACTAGAAATCTAATGTGCTTACCAATAAATAATGCCAATACCAATAAATGTGTACCAGTAAATATTGGTTAAATTACTGTATGTCCTTCAAATGGAATTTCATATTAAAAAGGAAGAGGCTCATCAATATGTGCTGAAAGCATATCACTAAGATATATTTTTAAGTGTGAAAAATAAAATCAAGTTTCAAAATGTATGTAGCATGCCATATGTATGTGCTTGAAGCATATATGTATGCAGGTATAGTCACAATTTTTTCTTCCCCACTGGAAGTATATGCTTATAATTGATAATGGGAACTATGTGTGATAAGAGAGGAATGGGAAAAGAGAAAGTTTTACTTTTCATTTTATCCTTTTATATAGTTTTAAAGATAGATAGATTGGTTGATGTGTTTAACCACATGACATACTATTTTTTAAAAATTTAAAAGCCCCTAAGGTCACACAGCTAGGACAGGGTACAGCTAGAATTCATACCCCAGATTGTGATTCCAGAGCCCATCCTCTGGATTCTATTAAACTGCCCTGTACTAGTGCTCCCTTAGTACCAGGAAGTACTTCTATCATTTGCTAGCAAGTTACACAATTTTTCATGAAAATACCTGGAATCAAAATGTCCAAGGGCCTGGAGCTGCAAGAATGTGCTCATTCTCCAGAAGAGAGCTCTGTGTCCTATCTGCCGGCCATCTTGGCTCCTTTTCTATAAGGTGGTGGCTCAGCCAAGAGAGGTCAGTGACCCTGGGCCAGGAAACACACACTGAGATTTCCAACAGGACAAATTACCTTAAGGAAAAGGCATTAGGATATCTACAGAGGTGGGGGTGGAGGGAAGGCATGAAAACAGTTCATTAGCCAACTTGGTCAATGGGCAGGTACAGGAAGTGGCAAATAAACCCAGCCCAAATCTATAAATGTACTTTAATATCAGTGTTCAAAACCCACAAAATAAATGAGTGAATTAGGAAACTTGGCAGCATGTAAGGACCTAGATGTAAACTCTTAGTTCTAGCCTTAACTCCCAGGAACTTTTCTGATTTGGGCATGTTATTTAATTGTCTTGGGCTTCAGCTTCCCATCAGCCAAAAGGACCGCATTATCTCTCCTGGCTGCTTCACAGAGTTGTGAGAAACAACTAGGGCAAGGAACATGCTTTGCAAATACAAGGCACCATACCAAATGAGAGGTTATTGTTAATATCTCTGAGGTTTACCTCACAGAAGAGCTATTTTTAGACAGGAAAATAGGAAGCATCAGAAAAGCATTGCTGATAACAAGGTAGACATACCTCACCAATGAAAGAGAGGTATCTCATGGATCATTTACTCCAGTTCCTCCTTTTTATAGTCATGGACAAAGACTTGCAGATTCCAAGGTCTGCAGAGAAGTGATAGTGCCATACTAGATTCTATTAGTTAAACCTGTAAATAAAATGGAATAATAGGCAAAGAAAGGGAATATGCTACAGGGCCCCTGCCTGAGGGGCTCGCTGAGCTGTGAAAGTTGATCAGGGTCCTAGAAACAAGCTGGTGTGAAGCTTAATAAGGAATTGGGGCAGAGGTTGGGGATGGACTTAAGTGGTCCAGCTCCAGGATGGCTGAGTGCCTCAGAGAAGCAATTTGAGGGTGGCCAGGGACTTGGATAGGATAAATGACAACTTCCTAGAACTGGCTGTTCCAGAACCCATAGAGAAAAGGAAACAGCCTGGCTTCGTCCTGGGTAGTTGACAGGAACCAGGGTAGGAAGTATTTGTAGTGGGACTAGTGCTCACAACATCATTAAGTCCCTTGTGAGTAGAATAAGGAAAATGGGAACAAATGCAATGCAGCACACATAGGGCAAGTCCATTTTTGTAGTGGTGTGAGCAGAGATGGAGAGATAGATCACCAGAGGGAGACAGTGTCTGCTGTGTGAGGGGCATTGGGCTCAGAGTGCCACAGACTTGGCTGTGAATACTGGCTCCACCACTAACTTGCTATAGGGCCTTGAATACACCATTTTCAATTCTGAATCTTGGTTTCTTTGTCTCTGAAATGAAGACTTTTCTCCCTTCTCCCTATCTTCATACATTCTTATGAGGACTAAATGAGATGTTCTTGAAAACAACTCGCACATATCCGTAGAACATGATGCCTAATAAATACTGGTTTATATACCCTTTATTTTGGGGAGAGACTCCCAAAAAATCTCCAGTGAAGTATTACAGCTGGAAATTTCAAGCACTAAAAAAGCAAGCTTGACCGACCTAAGAGGTAGAGTATGAAAAGGCCCTTTTGACAAATAGAGAACCAGCCTAAATGGGCAGATAAGGAGCTCTAATGTGGGCAGGGAAGGTTAGTAGCAAGGTAGAAATTAATATAAGCATAAACATATCTGTTTATAAGGGATTCATTACTTATTATGGGGATTAATTAAAGCGTTAATGTGACGTTCCTCTAGATCCATGACAAACTGGGAAGATACTATGTACTGTGTAACTCAGCTTGACCCATTTTCTTGACTGCTCAGAAATATGGGCTAAGTTTTGTGTTCAGATGCAATGGTTTTCCTCAGTCTTTTCCCCCTACCTTCTCTATTGGTCTAATTAATTTCCTCTTATTCATTGATTGTTCTTTAATCCTTATTTTGTTGGTTATATTTTTAAATTATTAATTGCCTCAGGTCCTTTTCGTATGGGTATGAAGAGGTAAAGTGATAATAACCGTTTCTTTAAAAACTAAAAATCCAAATAGAAAACCATAGTGAAAATGAAGGATCAAGGAAGATAAGGAAACTATAGCAATGTATAAAGCTGACCTAGTCTTTACTAAGAATAAAATTGGGGAAATTCCCATTTCTAGGTGTTTTTTTATAGCCGAAAGACCAGAGATTTTATCATAACAAAACCTGAGAACGAAAGGATGTTTTAGATTGTTTTATAGATGGGTAAATTGAGGCTAAAAGAGAGGAAATAGTTTGTCTTATGGTGATCTCATAGCAGAATGAGGATCAGAACCCAGGTCTCTTGGCCCTCATTCTGGGGATATGTCTCCTGTGGTCCTCGTCTTTGTAAAAGTAAATGTCTGACTTTAAATACTTGCACAAAACTAATTTGTGTGGGTTTATTCCTTTCTCCAGGGCCAAGTGCTTTCGGGGCAAAAAAGTCCTTGGAGATTATGATATCAAGGTGGAACAGGTAATCAGCCTGAAGCCCAGAGCTGCATCTGCATCATCACGGTTTCCTCTTGGCACGCCAGAGTGAACCATCTCATTCTGCTAAGTGGAGTACTGTGTCCATCATTGGATTCTGGACTCTGCATCTCCTCTCTCTCCTACCGTTTCCCTAGGACCTTTCTCTCTGTGAGGCATGGTCCTGGAGTCTGCATCTTTTCATTTCTCTGATTTCTTTTTATGGTTCTGGTGTCTATAGATGAGCAAGCAGTTTGGCTCTTGGGCCCCTATTGCAGTGTAAGATTCTTAGAATGAGGAAAACCTTAGAGGAATGTCTTCTCAGGACATTGCACGTTACGTCCATATTGTTGGTGGCGAGAGATTTCTCGGTAGGCACATGTCTGCCGTTCAGGTGTGCCGCCCCCAGTGATGGCTCCTCTGGGCCTGAGGCTATACGTTAGAGGAAATTTAGAAAAGAACACTTCCTTGTTTTAATACAGTGAAGCACTGAAAGACCAATTTTTTTTTTTTTAAACCTTGCTCCATGCTTTGCTTCATAATAAATAGTGATTGGGTCCATTTGGGGAGGAGGGGGATGTTCAGTTTCAACAATGCATGTATTTCCTATGTGATAAAAGAAGTTACTCATCATTCATTATATAGTGTGTTATGGTTTACTGACTCTCTTCAAACAACTTGTTAGATAGGCAAGATTGATAAAAAATTATTCCCATTTTATAGATCGGGGAAACTGAAACCCAGAGAGAAGTAACTTGCTTAATGTTTTATGCAACTAGGTAGGACAAAATCATAACTAAAACCTAGTTGCCTGAATTTAAACCTAGTGCTTTTATGTTGAAACTGATAAAAGGACATTTGTCTCAGTCCACATTCTTACTCTTTAGAGAGGCAGCACAAAGGATGCTGGGCTGGGAGTTAGAGGACTTGAGTTTTGCTCCTTTCTCTGCCAGTGATAAGTTTTGTTTGTCCAGAAAAGTTACTTAACTGCTCTGAGGCTCAATTTTCTCCTTTGGTAAATGGGGATAATTATCTCTGTCCCACCTTTATCACAGTGTTGCTATGAAAATTAGACTAACTCAGTATGTGAACATGTTTTGAAAACTGTGAGGATGTTGCTACTGCCATGTAGAGGACTTGGCAAAGTCAGGATTGTGAACTTATTCCCCTATTGTTATTTTTCAGGCAGAATTTTCAGAGCTCAACCTGGTGGCCCATGCAGATGGTACCTATGCTGTGGATATGCAGGTTCTCCGGAATGGCACAAAGGTTGTCCGGTAAGGGTCTTTCTGTCCTCAGGATCATTGTCACTGTCTCTATAGTTACTATCTCTGGCTAGAAGAGGTGGTTTCTAAGTCAGGTGTTAGAGTGACATAGCAGTGCTATGTATGGTGTATAGAACTTAATGATGGATATTGTGCAGAAGTAGTGGAAAAGGCAGAGAAATCCAGCTTCTAGCTGAGCTCTTAGTTTAGTGGTAGAGAAAGCAGCCTTAAGCTTCACAGACTCAGAGCTCTCTCAGAGATAACTGGATCCCATACAGGATTCTTCCCCCCCCCCCCACCCCTTCAGCCAGTGCAGCTCTGTGCTTTTATCCTGCATACATTTCCCTTGGAAAACAGGGTTCCATTGTTTTTGTTTTTTTTTTAAAAAAAACCAACTTGAAAATGTCTGATGTAGTTCAGCCTTCCATTTTACATTGATTTGCTTAGATTCCCCTAGTGAGTTGTGGCAGAGCCTTATGTTCTGTGTGAGATCTCTTGACTCTTCACCCTGTGTTCTTTCTATATTCCTCACTCCTGGGAACTCCTAAATTGGATAGAAAAACCGAGGGTTGGAACAGACATGGTGGGTGGAAGAAAATTAGCAATTATTGAGCACTTACATGCCAGGTGGTATGCTGGATGCCTTATAAATGTGATGTTGTCATACAGAATTTTGTGAGGGAGGTAATGAGAATTCCAGATTGGAAGGTGGCAGAGCAGGGAGCGGGGGCAGTGGGAAATGGTTTCAACAAGTTTTATTCTTCCCAGGAGCTCAATATGGCTTCAGGTTTTCAGACACCAGTCTTGCTCCAAGAAGAGTCTTCACCTCACCCTCTTCCCCACCTCAATCTGCAGTAACCTGACAGGTTTCTAGTGTCCAACAGGAACTGGTTAGTGACAGGAAAGGCCAGACTGGAGGTGTTAGGGACCTAACAACAGGAAATGTGAGCTCATCCATCCTGAAGATCAAGGAAGAAGACAAAAAAAGAAATGTCCATCTGGGTGGGGAATGAGCTCAGGTAGATCCTACAAGAGAGAATGGATGGGCTCTTCCAGCTGTACGTAGAGAGGGTAAATGGGGATGCATGAACACAAGCAGGTGGAGACAGAGAAGCCCAGTAGCAGGGCAAGAAGGGGCTGGCTACTATGTACAGCTCATTTCCTGTAACTGCCATGAAGGGTTGGAATTGTATCTCAGGCATACAGCTGGTGCCAACTTCCCAGAACTGGGACACAAAGAAGGTCAGAGCAGCTCTAACAGATGCCATGTTTCTGTTTGTTTGTTTGTTTAATAGATTGAGGGAATTCATGTACAGATTTGTTACATGGATATATTATGTAATGGTGAGATTTGTTGTTCTACTGTTCCATCACGTAAATAGTGAACATCATATCCAATAGGTAATTTTTCAACCCTCATCCCCCTCTCATCCTCTCCTCTTTCGGAGTCCCGATTGTCTGTTGTTTCCATCTTTATGTCCGTGTGTACCCATTGTTTGGCTCCCACTTATAAGTAAGAAACACAGTATTTGATTTTCTGTTGCTGAGTTATTTTACTTAGGATAATGGCCTACAGCTCCATCTTTATTGCTGCAAAAGACATGATTTCATTTTTTTTAAGGGCTGCATTGTATTCTTGTGGTGTATACTGTATATATTTTCTTCATCCAGTCATCAATTGATGGACACTTAGGTTGATTCCATGACTTTCCTATTGTAAATAGTGCTGTAGTTAATACATGAGTATGAGTGTCTTTTAATATGATGATTTCTTTTTCTTTGGCTAGATTCCCAGTAATGGTATTGCTGGGTCATATGATAGTTCTACTTATAGTTCTTTGAGAAAATCTCTATATTGTTTTCATTAGAAGTACTAATTTACATTCCCACTAACAGTGTAAAAGTGTAAGTCCTTTGAGTGACCAAGGAAGGCTTGCTCTTTTGACACTCATTTTAAAAGACTAATCTCTGAGCCTGGGTGGGGCTGAGGCTGGAGGTGGTAGGTGGATAGCTGCCTGGGCAGAGAACCAAGTAGGTCATTGTATATCGTATGAATCTGCTAAATCTTAGAACCTTGGGAGTAGATGCTGCCACAGAATTGACTCTCTGGGAAGGTGGGGTTCCGCTGAAGCTCAGGCATGAAAACAGCGGCCCTGGTCCTTTGGAGTAGCCGTGGCTAGAAGCTTTGCTGGCTAGAGGGGAAGCGCAGGAGCTTTCCCATGCATGGGAACATTCTGTACTCTCAGGGCTTCCTGCAGCCGTTGCTCAACCTCAGTTCTGCGAAAAATATTTGTACCCCTCCCTAGCGTTCGCTTTGGAAGAATAACACTGGGAAGTCTGGCATCTGTCCTCAGCCAGCCTTGCCCTTGTTCTCGTGGGGACCTGATGAGGGCATTGCCTATTTTAAGGAGCAGCTTTAAGGAGTCAGAACAGGACACTGAGATCATGGACCTCTGTGGCAGTGTAGTGAAGGAAACCAAGTACTATCTGTTGTCTTCAGTTTTCCAGGATCTGCTTTGAGCTCCAACTTGAAAGTCACAAGGAGTTTCAGGCTCTTACACTGTCTCATGAGGTCAAGGAAAAATATTTTTCACTTAAGGTGTGTGAGACTCTAAAAGTGTTTCTTCCCCGCTTAGGGTGTTTGTACCTTAGAAAAAGGCAGTGCTTAGCCCAGAGAAGAGAGGGAATTTTAGAATTCTGTTCCTCAAATCTTATTTGGAAAGTACTGTAATATGGACCAGGTGTGGTGGCTCGCACCTGTAATGCCAGCACTTTGGGATGCCAAGGCGGGCGGATCATTTGAGGCCAGGAGTTTGAGACCAGCCTGGCCAACATGGTGAAACCACATCTACTAAAACTACACAAAATTGTCTGAGCCTGTTGGTGTGTAATTCCAGCTACTTGGGAGGCTGAGGCACAAGAATCGCTTGAACCTGGGAGGTGAAGGTTGCAGTGAGCCGAGTTCGTGCCATTGCACTCCAGCCCGGGTGACAGAGCAAGACCCTGTCTCAAAAAAAAAAAAAA